AATGTTTTTTTTTTATTGCTAATTCAAACCTTATTAGGACAAAGGATTTGTCAAAAAAAATATTTATTACTTATTCAATATGAAGGATGGTGTATGAACCTACTACCATGGTGATCTCTTTATCTTTGTTGGAATTTATTCAATTTGAATTTTTCTTTTCTTTAAGCAAATATTAATATAATTTTTAGGGAGAAAAGTATAAAAGCACTTTACAGTTTTATTTTTTATCAAACAAATTAGTAAAAAGCACTTTCAGCATCATGTCTATTTTAGTCATTATAAATAGTTACAGCACTTTTACGGTAAAATTTACCAAACGTTCTGACACTGCTTTTCATACTTACAACACTTTTAAAATTACAATTTACCAAACATTTAACTGTTTTACTTTACAGCTGATTCTTTTTAAAGCACAGTAGAAGCAGCTTTTTTTAAAGCGGCAGCAATCTCAAACTAGGCCTATGTCCAAGATTGGGTATATAACTAAATTTGTAATATAATTTAATTTTTGGTAGATTATTTGAGAGTGAGTTTTGGGATTGGATCTGATTTAGATTAATTTAAAATATTATTTTGACCGTTGAATTTAAATTTCAAATAGTTAGATCTTTTTTACTGTTAAAATAACATAAATTTAATATAGATCGTTGATTTGGATTACTATTAGAATATTAAAATAAAAAGAAAATAAAAAGGGGAATGTTTGAATTGTTGTCTAGTCCAGGCAATAGCTGGACAGGTATTTTTCCCTAAGTTTTAATTTTCCTAAATTTTAGCCCTTCATTTTCTTAGATTGTGAAAGAAATAGTGAAGTCATGAATTTGACAACCTAAAGAATCCGAAGTATGTTGACGAAAAATTGAAAAAAAGAAGGGAGTTTCACTAAAACACCCAAAATGGAGATTGAAATTATAAAAAAACCCAACACCCAAAATACTTCATAAACACACCCAAAATCCATCATTACACACACTCAAAACCCATTTATAAACACACCCAAAAAGTTGACTTTGGGGTTGATTTTGGGTGTGTTTCTATGTTTAAATAGTGCTTGGGTTTTTTTATAAATACATGTCTAGAATTGGGTTTATTTATAAATTTGTAAAAAAAGAATCCGAAGTACGGGTCAGATGGGCCTTATTTTGAAATCTAATCTTAACCGTTAGTTTAAAACCAACGGCCAGTATTATAAAACTTCATCGGCTTATCCGAAAGGCCAAACCCGAACATTAAACCAACCAAAACCCTGCGTCTTGAGAGACGACGAAGAGAGAGAGAGAGAGCACGAAAATGGGTCTTCTTCTCTACTCTAATCCTCTGCCTCTCACCACCGCTTCCTCTCGTTCTTCTTCTCCATTTCCAACATCATCATCTTCGACAGCTGCAACTGCAATCTGTAAGCTCTGCCTCTCTCTCTCTCTCTCTCTGTGTCTCCCCCTTACCCCCAAATTGTTTTCTCCATTTACTTTTAAGACATTGTTGGTTCAATTGTTGGAAGGCTTATATATGCCAAGTGTAATTTGAAAACAGTAAGAATGCAATTGAACATAAGAACTTTGTTGGGTTTTGTGTATTTTGGGTAGAAGAACAAACCTTCATTGCATATGAGGCTTGGGACTTGATGCTCTTCTTTAGTATCTGTGGCTTTGCATTTTTCAGTTGTGTATTATTAGTTTTGCTTCAAAATTTGCATCTAACTTCGCCAAATGAAAAACCTTAATTGGCTGTTTTTGGTTGGTTTCTATGTTTCTTGGTGTGCCTTATCTACTACTTACTCAACACTCGTTCAGGGTTTCCCTCAAACACTTGGCATGCGCCCATTCTTCTTCCTGTGCTTTTCTAATCTTATTTCCTGTCCTTTCCGCCCTAACACTTCAACTTTCCTCTGCATTTGGGCTAATCTTATTTTCTTTCTTCTTATTTGTAAACTACTCTATTATATAAATGTGCTCACTCCCTTGTTGCTCCTGTTTCGTAATTGCCAATGTTGCATCTCATTCAGCTCATATTCATATGATAATTGCTTTTTTTTCTTTCTTTGGTCTTCAGTTTCCAGGTTGCACTTGAAACCCACTGATGCACATCCAAAATCTTTCAGTGGAGTTCGCCTTCGTATGCCTGCTGTCAAAAGGTTTGCATCAGTAGTTGTTAAGGCTTCCTCTGACATTGATGGCACCAGTCCAACAGAGAGTAGTGAGCCAGTTTTAGATACCAAGAAAGAGGTAGTACCTGTTGACAAGCTTCCCTTGGAGTCAAAGCTGCAAGAAAGGCTAGAGCAGAAGGCGAAGATGCAACTGGCGAAGAAAATAAGACTTCGGAGGAAAAGACTTGTTCGTAAGCGGAAGCTGAGGAAGAAAGGCCGATGGCCTCCTTCAAAGATGAAGAAGTTAAAGAATGTCTGACCTTTGTAGAAGTTGTACGTCTTTGAATTTTTAAATTCTTGGTTGTAGTTTTATTGATCAATTTCAGAAACATATTTGACAAATGATCGGCTCAATCTCTTTTTTTTTTGTTCTACTTTTTCTGGATTGGGATATGGAATCTCAACCTTAACTATCCAAAAGAAAAAGCCCATCTGACGACAAAGAAGTTGATTTGGTGAAGCAATCACCAATTAAGTACAGAATGATTATTTCCTAATTTAAACCTTTTTTTTTTTTTTTAATATGTGGTTTTAATTTTAAGCCGTTAGATGATATCTACATGATGTGGCATGCAAATAAGAGAAGTCAAGCAAATCATGGTAGGGAAAATCAAAACAGAGGATCCGAATCTTTTTTTTTTTCTTTTTTTTTTTAATATTTATAACACAACTACCCATTTTATCTTTCTTAATTCTAAAATATGAAAAAACGAAAATGAAAAACAGAAAACCAATTGGCACAATGTGCCAATGGCCCAGGCTAGCGATTCCTTATCTATAATGTTAGCGGCAGCCCCTATTCAAATGAGAAATCTGTTCCTTTCAGAGGACTTGCGCATAAAGGCTAAATATATGAGGACTAAACCTGATTCTTCACATTTGGCATATATGATCAGCAATGTCCATAACCTTAACATTCTCAAATTAATACTTTAGTCATGGAGTTTGAGTTGAGTCAATAACAATGCATTCACTGATCAGAAGCCCCATTCCAAAGTAGTATGTGATTTATTCTCCATGAAATTATGCGAGCAAAGATAAAATACTTTGCAGGTCATTACAATCAAAATAAATCTTTGGAAAGGCAGAATGTGAATCCGACGGCAATGGCTCGACATTGAATGATTTGGGGGGCATAATATAAGCAACTGAGAGTACTGACAAGAACATGAACATGAGGCAATTGCTGCTGTCAATGCACCAGAGGTTAATAATATCTCGTACTTTGGCTGCGCTCATTCTACCAAATCCAATGCTGTGGAAAAATACTAAAAACCTTCCTGAAATACTAAAATCCTTCCTGAAATTTAAGAGCCAACAAACAGCTTATGAGCAAAAGAAAATGTATACACAAATGCTAAGGTGCAGCAGAGAATTATGCAGTTGTGAAAAAAGAGAACCCAATTATTGTTCAGGTAAAACTATACCTTTAAACTATAAGCTGAGAATTAGAGCAAGCACAAGGACAAGCATGCATGGCCTTCCAACGACACCATCTGATGTCGACCTACAGACATTATCAAACTGTAATGAGTATCATTACAGCCAACCAAAGTTTTTTCATTTCTTTTAAACTGGCGTGCACAAATGCTATAAAACATAGGTAGTAATGAAGAATGAACCTAAAGCCACCACAAGTGCCTCATAAAAATTTCATTTCCTTTTCTTTATCAGTGAAGTTTTAACGTACGAGCTCATTAGAGATTGATCACAAACCAACGTGAAAATTGCAAACGATAAAGTTAATCAGAAATATAATTGAAAGTTAATGGCCTAAATTTGTCATTAAAGTTTCCCATGTCCAGGTTTCATTCAAATGCAAGAAAGAGCAAGATGGACTGAAAGCAAACACCATGATTGAAGAAATGCATCAAACAGTAGTGAAAAGAAAAAAGAGGGTAACAAGATTTATTGATGAGGTCATGATATAAATGAAATATTACCTTGTTACAAGCTCCTTGATTGACTCAGTTTCGATTCCAAAACCTAAAGGGAAAAGTGGATCATAGTGTGGATCCCCAAAATTCATTGGGAGTTGATCTACAGTTCTGAACCATGTTCTTGGAAGCTTTCCACTGAACTCATGATCCCCAAAAAGGACATCTGTAATACCTTGGCCTTCAGTGCCTGGCAACCATGCTGCCACCAGGGCATCAATTGAGGAAATATATGGTTCAATTACAATAGGTCTGCCAGAAATTACGATAACAATGCACTTGACACTTTCACACACATTGCTGATGACACTAGGGCCAGGCTCTGCCATCGTTAGGTTCATGCTGTCTCCTGAAGTCTCAGCATAAGGGTGCTCGCCAACAACAACAATGGCATATGCAAAGTTGTTGGACTTAACAAAATTTCCATCAGGATTCTCACGGTAGATAATTTCTGTGCTCGAATCAACTGTTGATTTTATGGCACTGAGGATTGTGGTTCCTACTCATGAAAAATACTTTCGTCACTATTATTGCTAAAGTAGTTTCCTGGAATTCAAAATTCTTAAAGAAAAATGTGCTTGAAGGGTATTTGCACATAATCTAAAGAAATTTAGACTAAATCTCATTGCACAAGATAATATTCGAAGAGAAGTTCAGGAAATTGAAATTTTTTTTTTACTTTAGTAGCTTTTAATCTGCATCCATATCATGCTCATGCTTGTCTCCTAAGACATTTAGGAATCGTCAAGGACTGGACTAGCTAAATCACCCCAACTGTAATGTTTTTTCATTAAAAAGTATGCAACAAAGATTTGGTACATTCAAAGTAACAATCAGAAAATCATATGCATGCACATACACATGGCTACATATTTCCAGTTCATTCTCATAATTATGGAGACAATGTTTCTACAGTTTACACCTAACAAGCAATTTCATAATCTTCTTAGTAAGTACTCAATGCTCCGTTTTTACATGCAGCAATTTCTGTCATTCATTGTGAAACACAAAAGTACTGCATATAGACAGAAAGTTAAATATTAATAAATATAACCATGAAAGAAGACCCTACCTCTTGTATAGTTGTTGCCACTGAATCCTTGCCATTCCATTGTCCATCCACCACATTGGTAACCTAGATTATCAGCATGACTGCCAGCAACTAGGATTTTGGACACCTTCTTGGGAAGAGGTATGACTGGATTTGGATTGGTTCCGTTTTTTCCATTCTTCAGAAGCACAAGTGATTTTCTGACTGCTTCCCTTGCCAAGTCTCTATGAGCCTAGGAAAGTTAAAATAAGAAATAAATAAGCAGCCCATTGATTCAGGGTAGTTATTACAAATTATGAAACTTACTAAGCTCTTTATTAACATTGACAATTGACAAGGAAAGACCATGGAACTTGGAAGGCAATTTCTGGCCACTGAACGTATAAACAATTGTAATAGGAACCACTCTGTCATTTTTTATTTTATAATACTCTCCACTCCATTTTTATCCAACTAGAGAGCAAGCCAATATATGTAAATTAAAAAAAAAAAACACAATATGAAAGTCGCAAATCCTGATATTATATAATCTCTGATGAACTGACCTGGCTTCCAAGCTCATTGACTAGGCTGAGATCAGCCAAAGGGTTCTCAAAAAGACCCATGGTGAACTTGACAAGCAGAATCCTTCCCACAGCATCATCAATTCGATCCATTGGGACAACGTTGTTTTTGACCAGGGAGATGAGATCATCAATGAACTCTATATACTTGAAAGGGATCATGATCTTCAAATCACAGACAACCATGTTCAGAGTTTTATAATCATATACTTCAGTTTCTCATTGTTGCACTGATTACAGTGTAGGAAAGACTTATCTTCTTTCATTTCTATGAGATGTTTGTTTATAAAATAAGCCACTAACCATATCAAGTCCAGCTAGAATTGAAGCTTGGACGGAGTATGAGTAGTTTGCATGTGGTGGGGAGGTAATCCTGTCAACACCCTCCCAGTCTGATATAACAAAACCCTGAATGTTCAAACAAAACACCATGTGCTGTTAGCATAAAATAGTTAATACTGCAGAACACAGGGAAAGGTACAATACAGTCACCAAAGACAAGAGTTTGTAATGGTAAAATTGTTTGGCAGTCAACAAACAAGTTCAAAAAGCACAATAAGATTAAGATGAGAAAATATGTAAATGCAATGAATCCATCAATAGACGCTAAGTGGCAACATTGGAAAGCAAGTAAAGAATCATGCAGACTACTTTGCAATACGTAAGAAAACCTGACCACATTAATGTGCAAGTAATTTGAATTTAATTGGACACACTGAAGGCATTAAAACGCAACATGTGGAAAATATGCATGTTGAGAAAAATGACAAAAAAAGATCAGACCAACAAGCATTGAAAAAGGAAACATTCAAATGCAGATAGATTGAGGGAAAAACAGTTATGATCAGTCAACTAGTCACGAATAAGAGTCTGAGATGTCACAGAAGGGAATACCCCACAACTAAAATTACCGATAATTTTACAATATGCAAAGACACTTTTCTACCAGATAATACTGAAGGCTTTAAAACTCAACATGTGGTAAATCCATAATGTTGAGAGAAACCTTTCACATAACTCATGGTAGAATGTTAACATTGAGCAAGTTAGTTATGTGCTAACATCAAATATTCGTACATACATAATAACACAATTCAAATTGAAATCTTTCTGCGCATGTCATCTTATTTGCATTGTAGATAGTTACCAGAAAAACTGTAATAACCTTGGATACTACATAAAAATAAAAATAAAGGAAAAAAGAAAAGGAAATTGTAACCTTAAACTTAAGGGTGCCCTTGAGGAAGCCAGTAACTAGGTCGTGGTTTGCATGCATCTTTTCCCCATTCCAACTGGAGTAGGAAATCATCACCGTTGCGACACCCTTGATGATTGAATCAGAATAGGCAGGCATGTGGATGCTAAGCAACTCGTGCCGGTCAACCACAGTGTTGTTCTCATTAATGCCCCTGGTTGTCCCTCCATCACCCACAAAGTGCTTTGCACAAGCTGCAACCTTTTTACTAAAATATAATAAAACAATAAATACATCAGGAATGACTGAAACATTGAAATATTAGTATTAATAAACATTTAGATAAGTGCAAATGAATACATTCATTCAGAAAACCAGGACAAACGTTTTTTGTTTCCTCTTCCCTCCTATTGGGCTGAATACAGGTGAGTACAGAACATAGAATTTCAGCGTTGAAACAGAGTTTCACCAATTAACAACAGTCCAAGAAAAATAAGGAGAAATGTTTTAGTAACAATGCCTTGATACACTACTGATATATTGTGCGAGGCAAACCATGAGATCAGGGAAGGTAGCTTTATCATTATGTTGGTTTA